GATGAAACAGAAAGCAATCACGAAGATGAAACAGAAAGCAATCACGAAGTCTGTAAGATGTGGGCCCGGCTGTCATCGGCCGGGCAAGCAATGTTATACTGTCAGTTATCATTATGTGATAGTGAATAACCAATCAGAATGTGCCTCGTTCTGGTACATGAAGTAGGTCAGCTTGAAGATGACGTTCAGACGATATCATAAGATATGAACAATTGGACAGTGTCAAGGTGATACATAATCAGTATTCCATAACAGTGATTATAAGTGTTTTTACACAACTTACAGGGGAAAAACATTATCCTGGGGAATATTTCCTTCCTTCTGTTTGATTTGATACTGGTTTCTCATTACGACTCCCTCAAAAATATCCCTAAAGTCTGTCCTAAATGTTAAACCATTTCTGTTTTATGTACTGAACTGTTTGTCAGGAGGTTTTCTATTTACCCCATTCTGCGACATGAACTGCTTACCCAGCATTTGTGCTGGTTAAAATGGATGTATATATATATTTTTATAGCTCCCCCCTCCTGGTGTTAAAACATTGCTGTTTTGACGTTTGTTAACTTTGGTTCTTTGTTGCTTGTTTTCCGGTCCTTGTAGCTCCCTGTGGAGGTCACTTCACTGGTTCAGAGGGAACCGTTTTGTCCCCAAACTACCCACATAATTATACCAGAAGTCAGAGCTGTGTCTACGACATCTTTGTCCCCGGAGACTTTGGTAAGCATTTTTAAGCTTTTATTTTATTTGAGTTTCAGGAAAGGGAAAATGATTCTTTGTATATAACATTGTCGTGTGTGCATCATAGTTCGTAAAATACTTGTTTTATGTAAATAAAAAAAAATAATAAAGAGAATAATGTTTGTGTTTTCTAGGGTTTAGTAATGTGTATAGATCCTAATTTGTGAAGAAATGGAAGTTATTTGTCAGATATAGTCAAAGGTCACAGGAAATTACCAATAAAAACACTCAGACTTGTGTTATTCAGTTCTCAGGAGAGCTTAATTTGTATCAGGCATTTCAGTGTTTTGCATAGTTTAAATTTGTTTGATGCTTACTGTGAATGACACTCAAGTTAAATATATCTATTCCACTGGAGTAGTCATTTAAAACAAAATTTGTTTTGAATTTAACTAATGGTTGAGCATAAAACCAGAGTGAAGGCATCTGATAGTAAATGTCACATTAAATCTCGGTTAAATACATTGATGTCACATTACATGGAATGTAATTTAAAATAAATGTAACATTGAATATATAGAGTTTTAAACCAACTGACTGCTGGGTTCTGCTTGTCACTGTAATGTACATGTTAAGACACTGTTTGGCATCACTGTCTAGTGTGAAAGCAAATAACTTTCGAGCAATTGGAAATTGTGTTAGCGTAAAAAAAATATCTGTTTAAAAATACTTTTTAACAGTAGAAGATACTTGTTGTACTAACTAAAAAGGTTTGGGGCAGGGCCAGCCCTAGCTAATTTGGCGCCTGTAGGCAAGATTCCAGGTGGTGCCCCTTGTGCAGTTTTCTAAATTTCACTGATTAATTTACATATATTCACATACAAAATTAAAATATTTTGTTTTTTGCCTTTTTAATTTTTCTAAAATATGCTTTTCAAATAAAAAAAAGCTAGCGTTATAATTAATTTGAAACAAAATACCATAAGTCTACCTCATATCATTTGCAAACACAGATGAAGAACACCTGCTAATGTTATTGAGCAGCGGTGGACTGAAGCAGTTTTAGGGGTCCTGTCAACCAAAAACTTGGACAGTCAACCAAAGACTTAGAAAGTCAATCAAAAACTTAGAAAGTCAACCAAAAACTTAGAAAGTCAACCAAAAACTTAGAAAGTCAACCAAAAACTTAGTCAACCAAAATCTTAGACAGTCAACCAAAAACTTGGAAAGTCAATCAAAAACTTAGAAAGTCAACCAAAAGTTTGAGATTCAACCAAAAGGTTAATTTTTTTGCAAAAAACCGTTTTGATAGGTTTATTTTTATTTTTTCTGATTGAAATAGTTTTTTTTGTTTGGTTGATAAAACATTTTTTTTGGTTGAAATTATTTTTTTTGGATTGAAGATGCTTTTTGTTTGATTGAATAATAAAAACACAAATTTACCTCCATAGAAATTATTAAAGATTTACTCAAAATGTTGTGTTTTCCAGCCATATAAAGAGCATTTTATTAAATTCTTGGGATTAATAAAACAACATTAAATCTGTATTTCATGACGGTAAAACCAGACTTTAACCTGAACTTTATCTTGGATCATAACTGCAACTCCCATTATCAATATTTATTTTCTGTCTTACAGAATGAACACCAATAGTTAGTCTTGACTGCATCATAGGATACTTTAATTACAAAATATCCTCTGCACCATATAGCACTTTATGTAGTAACACAGCAGCTGAGAAACCCACAGAATAAGTTGTCTTCATAAAGCTGAATAACCAGTGATTATTCTACAGACTAAATAATCTATAACTAGATAAAAACCTATAAAATATATAATTTTTGTTCTCCATTTGTGACGCTCCCTAGATGGACAGTGCCCTTAGCATTTGCACATACCGCCTATGCCACGGGCCTTCCCTGGGTTGGAGCAAGCAACTTCTCAGTTTCCCCATTTGTCCAAGCATGTATTTGTATGTAAAATTCAACAAAGATATCAGGGAGACATTGATGTGTTTCTACTCAATATTCCATGAGCTCCATAAATGTGGACAGCTGTTTTTATTGTCTAAGGCCCTGTCCTTATGATGCTCACATTGCTCCCTTGTGTGATGATCTACTCTGACTGTTTACATCTTCTGCTGCCTGCTCCTGCTGCTCATGGTGTGCAGGAACCCACAGGTCTTCTTTAATAAATAATGCATACAAATGCTTTCTTGGCTTAAACTGCCAGAAAAAGCTTAATGTAGCGAAGAAGATTCCCAACAACATTCCCACCAGGGCCTACACATTTATTTTGAGGATGCAACTTTCAAACATTGGCTGCTGGTGATGAGCAAGACTTCTGCAGTGCCGCCTGGTTGAAATATGCTTTAAAAATTGATATTTCAGCTTAGATTTTCAGGGAGCTTAGAATTTTGTCAAAATATTTTGATGGAAACTCTAGCTGTGATGTCTCAATTTTTTACGAAGTTACCAGCAACATATATAAAGTATAGAGATACATAGGTTGGTATCCTTACAGCTCTTGGAAACTTTATTAATGATTTAGTTGAATGCATTTAAATACATTCATGCATTTAGTTTGTAGTAATTTAAACAAAAAGACATCCTAAAGGGAGTGATTTGTTTTATGAAGACCAGCTAAAATGAGACGATATGTTGGTTTCCATATAGATTACGGATGATGTTTCTTAGTCATGTTTGACCTTAATTAGTGTCACAAGTGCCTTCATTTAATCAGTTATTCAGCCCATTTAAAGGAAACAAACAGCCACTGTTAAGTTTTCTATGGTTGTATGCACCACACTGAACACAGAGCAGAGGAAGCAAAAGCCAGAGCTGTCTGAGGAGCTCAGAAAGATTATAAATATATGTTAAAGGTAAAAGCTACAAGACTGTCTCCAATACGGTGTACATTTTAGGACATCCTCAGTTTTACTTGTCAGTCATCAGTTGTCAGMAAAAAAKTTKTCAGTTTTACTTGTCAGTCATCAGTTGTCAGAAAAAAATTTGTCAGTTTTACTTGTCAGTCATCAGTTGTCAGAAAAAAAGTTTTCAGTTTTACTTGTCAGTCATCAGTTGTCAGAAAAAAAAGTTTTCAGTTTTGTTTATTTATTTACATACATTTGTTTGGCGCCTTCTGGAGCCTGCAGAATCATAGCAATGAATACGTAGAAGCCTCGTTGACTGTGTCGTCCGCTGCTGTGACGAGCTGTGCGTCCGCCATATTGGAGGTGGCGCCGCTGCGCTGTGAACTACTACAAATGAATGGACTTTGTTTCATGAAGCACATTTTAACAGAAATTTACATTAATACGGCACCATCATTTATTCAAACACACATACACATGCGCACACACGCAC